GTGTGTGTGTGTGTGTGTGTGTGTGTCTCAAACCCCAACCAACCCCACGGCCCTCAGAATATGCATTTAGGGAAAGTGGGGGCCTTTAAATGGGTGCTGATATTAAAATGAAGCCAGCAGGGTGGGTCCTGATCCAGCCCAGCCTGCAGAGTTGCAGAAGAAGATTCTGTCCAAGTGCTCCTGGCCTTGTTAGCACCAGCCTCAGATACTAGGACAAATGACATCCAATGTCCTCGTAGACTCAAAGCTCTCTTTCCATGAATCTGTGCAGAAGCCCACTTTACAGAAGCTGAGGGCAGAGCTTCCACGGTGAAGGCAGAGATGGGCTTGCTCCATAATCTCACTAGGATACTGAGCCATAAACGCTAGGAAGCCAGGGTCCAGCTGACCATGCCACAGAAGCTGTCCTGGGTGTGCAAACTGCGCTTTCCTGCACTGCAAAGCCAATATGCGCACAGAGGGAAAGCCTGTGTGAACTTGACCATGGGAGGAGGGACTCAGTAACAGACACTCTGCTCGCAACTCTTCAGCATCTGGGAGTAATGGGCCAGGACCAAGAGACCTGACCTGTGGGTATCTGGGTCACTTTGTGACAAGAGGCAACGGAAAGCTCTTCTTGGGAGGGCAGCAAGGACCAAGCCCCTCAGACCTTCTTACCATCTGGAGGTCCCTGGGCCACCGTGCTGTGCCAAGGAATAGAACAAGAAAACCTCAGGCTGGGAAAGCCCTCAGGGCTTAGAAAATGCAGGCTCTGGGAGTGGCCTGGTTCAAGCTAGTGATGTGCGCCATCCAAGATTCAAGCCAGTTAGTGCTGCTGCCGTGGAGCAAGCTGGCAACACAGCAGCTTCACACCTGCAGTTTCGGGCCCTTCCAAATGCATTCTTCTCTCAGAGCTTTCAGAGGTGAGGAGGGCAAGACCCTCATCTCTCACTGACAGGGAAACTGAGGTCCCAAGAAAAGACTAGACTTTGTACTCGTGTGGTCACACCATGAGCAGGGCCAGTGTTCTCCGTGGCCTGGGACACAGCCAGACAGGCAGATCAGGCAGCTCCAGGCAGGCCAAACCCCTGAAGCCCCACCCAGGTTCCACCAACCCTGGCTCCAGCCAACTTGTCCCTTCACCCAAAAGTCTCCCATGTGAACCTGGCATTTGGCACAGAAACTTCTGAATAGAATGGAAAATAATGGGCTCGTGTAGCCTAGAGACGTGGCCCCATCTGTAGTCACGACCATTTACCTGAACAGGGCAGGTCTGTGGCCAGCTCAGGGTGGCTCTAATAAAGTGAGCAACACCCCCACCCCCAGCCTAAATCCACACTGACAGAATAAGAGACCAGGGAATGGTTAGTGTGCTCTGGGAACTTCTGGGATGGGAAGAAGGGTGGTTGGTCCCTGACTCTGACCTCTGAAACACTGAGCCTTGTGTGGACAGCAATCAGCCATTCCTTTTCCACCTGACCATTAGTACTTGGGCTCTGCAGAACCAGGTCCCCTGGGTAAGCACCTGTGGCCCCTCCGATGGCTGCATTCCTTCTGCACCCCCAACCTACTCCAAGGTGGCGAGTTTCTCGGTGGGAAGAGCAGCCGTGATATAACAGAGAACCTGGGCTCTAAGTTGGGGGTGCCTAGGTTCAAGCCCAAGTGCTGCCATTTAAAACTTGCCCCTTCTTGGGAGTCTGTTTCCCCAAAGGCCGTACGAGCATGGTGATGTCTCCTTCTATTATGGGTTACTGTGAGAACAGAGTGAGATAAACTATATAAAGCCTCTGGCATGTGGTAAATGTCACTTCCTTTTTCCTACGATCACAACAATTAAAAACAGGAAAACAATGACTGAGAGGTCATGATTCCTGAAACCTCAACCATTCATGTCACAGCCAAGAGCCGATGGTAAACCCAGGCCTCCAAGAGCTTGAAATATAGCCGAGGACATCTACAAAGGATTTGGAGAGATGGTTTTTTTCCAGGAAGGCCCAGAGAAAAGGGACAGTGGTCGGATACTTGGATGTCAAGCCTCTTCTTCCTCCTATTCTGTGTCCCCTGGGATAACAATAGTTACCCTACTGGGTTGTTACAAGGAGGAACCAGACCATGGACAAGCCTTGCATATTGCAGGAGAGCACCGTGCAGGAGGTCTAGGCCCTTCCCATTCCCAAGCAGTGAGAAGAAATAGAGAATACTTGGTGTAAGGAAGACTCCAAAGAGTGGAGAAAGGCCTTCCTGAAGGGAGAAAAAGAAAGCACAGGAACCCAGGGCCTTCACTACTGCCCAGGGTACTCCCTAAGGAACCCATGGCCTTCACTACTGCCCAGGGCATCCCCTAAGGA